CTCATCCCCAACACATAGTGACAACAAGATGATAATATGCATGGATGCAAAATTAATTATAAGTCCCTTGATGTCAACAAAAAATATCATAACCCACAAATAAAATTTAACCAATCTTTAAAAATCTCAATCCAAAATTTACAATAAAAAAAAAACATTTCAATCAAATTATATAAAATATTTATGTGAGAATTATTTTTGGCTAACCTCTTTCATGCTATGAAACAACCCTATGATCCAAAGTCATAGCCGTCAATCTAATTGTCAACGTCACCATAATCATCTTCTAACTCTTTATAGCTCACAACCAATTGATTTTCCTTTCAATAATGTTATAAGAAGGAACAATCAGGTGCGATGGATTGAGAACAAAATAGTTTTATCTTCATTCAAGTATTAAATAGTTTCCCGTTTGATGCTGCTCAAACCATAAGGTCCGGTGATGCAATACAAGACGGTTAATCTTATAGTAACTCTCCTTTTCATTTTGAAAACTGTCATTTAATCCTCAAATGATGATATGTAAGATATACTAGGTGCTAAAGTTGGGAAATGAGATTAACAATACTTGCTACTTCTATTAAGATTATTTGACTTATTACAAAGCGTGTTAGTGTAAAGGTCTATAAAAATTTCATTATTATCTGCTCTAATGTGAGCATTAACTATATGATAACTCATAAGATTTGTAAATATTGTCGCTATAATCCAAATCTCTATTTCTAGGATGATTAATCAAATGTTAATATAGTATTGTCGCGGCTGAAAATGTCGCAACGGTAGAGTGAAAATACGTTGTCTTAGTGATGTATGAAATCTTAAGACACAAACATATGATAAAGAGAACACCATAATTTTTATGTAGAAAACTTTGATAAAAGAAAAAATCATGAGGTCTTGCTCAGTCGAAATGGTTCCGCTAGTATTTGAATAGATTACAAAAGTTATGACGCCATTTATCTCAAGGACAAGGAGAATACAATGTATTGAAAAATTTTCTCAATCTTCGGATGGGTACTCTTTGTGTAAAAATCTGGTGTGGTTGGGAAGAACTTCAACGACGGTCGAGAAGAATCTCGGCGGCGGTCAATTAGAACTTTGATGGCGATCTAGAAGAACTTTGACAGCGATTGAGAATAACTTTAGCGGTATTTGAGAAGAACATCAAGGGTGGTTGGGAAGAATTTTGGCGGCTGTCGACGACAAGATAGCTCTCCCAAACTTCTCTTCCTCCTCTCTTAATTACTTGTTTTTCTCCTTCCCCATTATGTGAAAAATGATGGTCTATTTATAGTTTTTTTGGGAGTAGCATGACTTATAAATATGGGGAGAATCAAGGTCAAGTTGGAAGTGTTTTGAATGGATGGCCGATATCGACTCCCTCGATCATAGATTGTTGATCAAGCATTTAAGTACCTTAATGATGTCAGAATTTGATGACCTTGGACTCGTTGGATTCGTCTAGTCGAGCCGCTCGATTCGACTATAAGCATGTCATATGTGACTATCATTTAGTTATCCAATTAATGCTTTGAAGTCTTCAAGTATGCTTTGGACCCTTGATTTGAGCTCATTTGGGCTCGGATTGGAGTAATTTTGGTGTCGTTGGGTTGATCTCTTCGAGATGTTTAATCGGAGCTTGGATGATTCCTATTTTAGTTTCAGAAGTTTCTTGTATGGATATGCCTCGAGATTCGTGCCTGATCACGCCAATTTTTTGTGATATATCAAGTACATATCAGCTTACAACTTTTAGCAGCTTATTTTGCTCTCTTGAGATTTAAAAATAAAAGCCATTTGATTAGTTTTGAAATTTTTGACCAAGCGAAAAGGCATGGGTTTTTGAACAAACAATTATTGAATTGAATATTGAATATTGCAAAGCAAATATTTTCTCACTTTCACTTAGTTACTATTATTGAAAGATGCATTAATTATTAAACTTAGGCTTCATTTGGGATAACTTTTTTGTTGCTTTCTAGTAAAAAATTTCTAATTCAAAATATTTTGAATACAACCGTGTATATTAGACCTAAATTTAGACAAGTGAAATAATCTTCAATGTTCCTCTATTTGTTTATCATTTAGTTGGTGTTAGTATATATAAGCAACTTAACATCATAAAATAGCATAAGAAAAAGGCTGAAATGCTCTAAAAATGGAAATAAAAAAAAAATGTGTGAACAGTTGCAGAACTCAGACGCCTTGGAGTTTAGCATAATTGCAATAGGAAAAGAAGAAACTAATGACAATCATCAATTCATTGAAGTAGTACTATAATATTACTTCTCATCATTAATAGTAGCTTATACATAAGCTCTTTTATTATTAACCCCATAAGTGATAAGTGTCTATCATAGGCCTTTTGATCACCCACTCACCAAGTTAATTAAGAGCACTAATGGCAGGATCACAAAAATATTTGTTAAATCTTTTCGATGCTACTAATTTTTATAAATAAGTACTTCTTAAATATAAATTTTTTCAAAATTAAATGGTTTGCATAGTTAAGATTAGAGAGAATTTTCTTAGATGGTTTGATCACATAAAAAATCAGTCTTTGGATGACCTGGTTAAGAGATTAGGTATATTAGATATGATATATGTTAAAAAATATAGAAATATATCTAAAAAGATTTGACTAGAAAGTATGATAAATAACTTTATTTATAAGATTTAAAATAGAACTTAACTCTTAAGAGGATAATGTGGAAAAATAATTTATGTAGCGACCCATACGTAGTAGGATCGAGGCTTGTTGTTGTTATTGTAATGACATTTAACTTCACAGTTCAACATTGTGATTAAAAAAAAGTATAATGAATTAGTATTTAGAAAAGAAAATGATAGTAAGATATTGACTTAAATGAAATTCAATTGAATCTTAATAAAGAATTAATTATCAAAATGATAAGATGGTGATATGGAATAGTACATGATAATCTTATCTTCCTATGCTTGCAATGAGACAAAAATTGGAAAGGACTTTTTTTTAATTGAAGCATAGCACGTCCAATCCAGATGCGCCACATCACCCAAATACTCTGGTACCCTGTGTATTTTGGTGACGTGACAAATCCGGACACCGGACACCGGACGTAATAATTTGCCCTCTCCCTCTGGCCTCTTTTTAGACGGCTTAATTAGTGTCGTTTCCATTCGAAACATGAAAAATAATTTCGGTTGATGTTTGGATGCATAACTTTTGTAAAACTACATTTTCAAATCTCCATTATCTTACCGATTTTCAAAGTTTTTATTTTTGCTTCTCAGTTAGAAAAAGGCAGTTTGAAACAATCGTTTCTCACCAAAATTTTACAGAACGAGTCATGTTGGCATATATAAACGAGTTATGTTGGCATATATTTTCCCTTAAGAATTCTATATATATATATATATATATATATATATATATTCCGAATAAAAATTAAATTAGATTATCATGATCGAAATTTGATCTTATGTATATTGGTTTCAAATTTATTCGCGGATGATATCTGAACTTACTAGCATGTGATCTATAAGGGGGAATAGGTTCGTTTAATAAATCCATCCAATGAAGAGTAATTTCTTTTATCTCTTAATTCCCATATTTATGAATTGACTCATGAGAAGCTTTTGAAGAAAGTTAGCTTGAAACAACTAGAAATTGACTTTCAAAATATATATTTTTTATTTTATTCAAATCTTGCACGAGTGAAAATGCAAATTATAATTTCAAAATTTAGGCTTTTTTTTGTCAAATTCAATATGATGGTAGTCTAGAAGCTATTGAATCTTAGAAGCACACGTAGCCCCAGCCTCAAGTAAGGTCAAAGGTAATAGACAAATGAATTTGAAAAATAAAATTCTTTAACGATTTTCTTCGAAGAGAAATATATTTTATGAAAAATTTCATCTAAAAGGGATAAATTGATATATTTTTATGTATATTTTGTGTTCTTAAGATCGAGTTTATACAACAGAATTAGATATCTCATTGTGTGAAAAAAAAGAAAAAAAAAACTAAATAAGGGTTTATTTGGGACTATTTGTTTATTACTTTGTATTTCGGATAAAAATCACAATTTTATTTGGCTATTAATTTTTTTATTGTTTTCCATATATTTCTTTGCTAGGAAGCAGTTTTTTATAGTAGCTTTCAAAAAATTTATTGTCTCTACCATAATTTTATAAAAAGCTACAATTGTCTCATAGAGATCCCAAAGCTTCGTTTGAGACATCTTTTTTACTGCTTTCTAAACCAGTTTTATAGTATAAAAATATTTTGAACAAAATTTTTTTGAACCAAGCAGTAAGAAAGATATCACAAATGAAGCCCAAGTCTCTGTTTTGTGGAGGATCTATTTGAGGTAGCTTTTTAGCTTCTTCCTTTTTCAGGCAGTAATCATAATTTTATTTCACTACTATTTTCTTATCACATTTCCACAATTTTTCAAAAAATTTATAATGGAAAACATCTTTTTGCAATGATGGTAACTAATTTATTTTCCCCATAATAATTTCACAATCAATTTTATAAAATATTGCAGTTATCCTAAATCGATCCTTATTCATGAAAATTCCTTAGTCTTGATATTAAATAAATTATACATTAAACTCACAAAATATTTTTTATGATTTCCACAAAATTAATAGAGAAAATTTCCTACAATTTCTTCTCCCTAAACAAAGTTCCATCACCATCACAAATATAATTTATAATTAATATATAATTTAATACACAATATATATTTGTTGGAGTACAGATCAATTATCCAAATCAAAATAAAAATAAAAAATAAAATAAAATAAAAAGACATGGCCTCAACTAACCAACCCAACACAACCAACCCACCACCTATCACTTCATCACACCAAACTTCCTTCTAAGTCCCACCTTTCACTTCTTCACAAAATCATACTATCTTACAACCAAAGCCACCCTCCCTCCCTCTACTCCCAAATATAACAAACCTCTATTCCCTCCCGTCTTCACCAATATCAAATCCAAAGTCTACATCCCCTCTCCCTTTCCCTCTCCCTCTCCCTCTCTCTCTCTCTCTCTCTCTCGATCTCTCTGTGTATATATTCATAAGAAAATCTTCTTCCTTCTTCTTTCCCTGTACTGTTCCATGAGAGAAAGAATGGAGAGGTTTGTAGGCTTTCCCTTCTCAGTGAGCTGTGTCTCTCAGTCAAGCGTGGATGTATTAGAGACAAGCCATCCAAGGAGATCAAGATCAGAGAGAGCACCTTCAACACCTCCAAGTAAGTAAAATTTATGGAAATTTCAGACTGAAATCATTTCAAGATTTCCAACTAATAATTTTCATTTTATTCAGTTAATGAAGAAACAAGCGAGAGAGATCTGGGAAAGATGACGACGAAGGGTCTAACAGGAGCAATTAACATAAGCGCTGGAATTCACAAAGCAGTAATGAAAGGCATCAAGAGCTTCTCACAACTGTTCTTTGAGAGAGAAGCAGAAGATGAATTAGATATAATGGAGATTGGATACCCAACAGACGTTCAGCACGTTGGTCACGTAGGCGTGGATGGGTCAACTGTAGCTGGTCTTGACGCCATGGATGGCTGGAGTAAAGCTCCTGACCAGCTCAGCTTCTTTCTTCCTCCGCTTTCTCTCAGGCAATTTGAGCTTGCTGGCATGAACCATGCTGGATGAGATTAGTTTTGGACAGTTAATTAATTAGCTGGTTTTTGTGAAGGTCTTTGTTAGCTTGTTTTCTTCTTCTTGTTTCATATTTTGTTGCTTGATGGATTGCTCTTTTGTTAAAAGTTTGATTGTAAAGGGCTGGGAAAAAAAATTTGATATTATAAACCTTATGCGTTTTATAAAATTAGTGCTTAGATATGATATTATAAAGTCTATTTATCTCAGCAGAAATTTAATTAATTGCTTTCAAGTCTATCCTTACAATAAAATATATTTTTATACATTTATTTGACAGCTTTGTTATTGCTTTACTTTATCATTACTTTTTTTATTCTTTCAATTTTTTTTATTAATAAGCTACTTTCTACATCAACATAAAAACAATTATTTTCTACATAATCTATCTTTATAAAAACCTGCAGTGATCCCAAGCGGGAAAAAATATTCTGCGTGGACGCCGAACGCCGTCTGGAGAGCAAACATAATGCGTCATATCACCCCTTCACTCGGTACCGCGGCTCGGTACTGCTTGGTACCGTAGCACGTTACTGCTGATATGGTTGCACCTGATTCGCCTTCAGTTATAGAGCTGCGTCCGACATCTGCACAGAATAATTTCTCCCCAAACAGTGCCTAAAACATTATTATCAAATTATAAATAATTGTTTCATCATGCACAAATTTTTTCACATTAAAATGTTATTATATTAATTTCTATTAAAATGTTTAAACGTATAATTTTAGCATATTATAATATATATTTACACAATATAAATATTTATTATCTCAATAGCTCAGCTATTATAGTAAATTTTCTTTTTGACATATTCATATATTTCTATAAATTATTTATTTTATTTTACAGAGAGTGATCAGAATGTCCCATTGAAAGCGATTTTTTGTTTGAAACGGGGTATCTATATGCTGCCACTCCAAAGGGAGCGTTTGACGGCGTAATTAATCCCTCGGCAGAATCTAACGAGATCGCCCACCGGCATTGGACCCACACTTGCTATGTCCCTTGGAGGAGGCGAGGCCGTAGTAGAGGGGATTCGAACCCGGGATGGAAGGTTCCCACCCATATTCGCTCATCAACCACCCTAAATCTCGGTGGTGAAAGCTGAATCTCTGCTGCAGGTACCACCACTTCATGATTGTTGTGAAGTGCTTGGAAGGGTCACATGCGTTTCTTTTCTTTTTTATTTTTTTAAGGAAAATGTTCACATGCAAAATAAGAAGGTTGGTTCCAATCCAACTTATGGTTCACGGGAAAAAGTATAAGAAAAATCAATCAACCTATTATAATTTAAAAGGGTACTTTTTAAAGAACTTTTATATATGAAGCAGTCCTTCAGATGAGGAGCACCGTTTATTTTCCTGGATCAGATTTTGTCCTTTATTGAGGGAAGAAATTATAAAAAGAACATCACCATTAAACAATCAGATATATTATGGAAAGAAATTAGTAGAGATACTAATAATAAGATATAGGTGGTTCGGTGAGAGATGTCTATATTTTCACAGGGAGAAATCGGGGCTTATTCTTTATTGATTCATATTTTATGCAATTACGCACATGTAAGTTGGGGTGTCAAAATTTGAATCGATCCGAAACTCAACTCGGATATGAACTGAAAAATGTTGGGTTTGGATCAATTCGTTTGCCAAATGAGTTGAGTTCTGGTTCGAGATTCTGACCCGTTTATAAAATCAGTCGAGTTCTGGTTGACCCAGACACCCTCAAACCTTGTTGTTGTGCTCGCCTTGCATCTCATCTAGACTTAGCACTTCTCTCGACACAATGCAATCCTGCAAAACCCATACTCAGATGTCCAGATCGGCCTCTCTCCTCCGTTCAGACTCAACAATTTGTCTGGCACAGTGCGATCCCACAAGACCCGCACCCAGATGGCCAGATCAGTCGCTAGCCTCGCATTCGGACTCTGCTTGCCTCTCATCCAGCACAGTGCAACTGCGATCCCGCACCTAGACCCTGTCCACAATGAGATCCCGCGTTCGGAGTACTTCACTAGCCTCATGTTCGGGTCAACTCAGTGATCCAGCGGGTTGAATTCGGGTCTGAATTTTCGACCCATTTATAAAACCCGGTTGGGTTTAGGTCAACCCGTTTAGACCCAGGGCAATTCTGGATTCAAATCAAACCCAACCCGAAAACCCATTTTGACACCCCCACATGCAAGCTTACAATTACATTTACCACATATTATCTTGCGTTCAAACCTTTGAATCCGAAAAACTAAACAGTACAGCAAACAAGAAATAACTAGATTTCCTATCAAAAAACATAAATTTAAAGAAAATAAAGAATGCTCATGTTCTTGAATTTTGGTCTAATTTGATTGCCTCACAAACTTGAGCAGGAAGACCACAAAAGCCTCTCTTGTTGACCTTTATAATGGTATATATCTCCATCTAGTTTTTTTTTTATTCCAAGCAAATTTGTTGGCCTTAGATTTGAGCTTCTTTTCAATGGTGAAGGCTCCAGGTTCGGCAAGGATCGATCATTATAGAAGAATTATTTCCAAGTGACTCCCTTGGCTAAAAGTAAACATGTTGGATTTATTTTCATGCACTAAAATCTAATTTAGAAGAATTATTCTTTTATCTTTTAATTTACACAAACAAAATTATATAATTTCTTTTATCAATATAAATACTAACGAAAATACAATTATCAATCAAAACATCAATATATGCATCTAGATTCATTTCCCAAAAATCATGTACACTACTTAAGATCTATACAATCATAATGTACCTATCCTACCATGAGTATAAAAGAATAGCTACTAACTGAAAGGAAAAAGCAAACAGTAAACCAGAAGAATCTTGACCAACCTTATACTCTTGATCCTCTGCTCTGACATGAAAATATTTAAATCACATATAATAAGTTAAAAAGCTCACTAGGTTACCAAAACTTACAACTGAACTCAAAGCACGATAAATGAGTAATATGCATTTCAACAATCAAATCATATAAATAACATTTATATGATTGTTGAATCACTATAGAAACAATAAACTCACTTGCAATAGCTGTAAAGTCTGTAAAGCAGTAAAACAGTAAGGTACGAAAGCCAATAAACTAATATAATGGAGAAACTAGTAAACTAATATGGGTGTGATCGAATCGATAAAACAATCATCATATCAATATTATCAACTAGTAAATAAATTATATTAAGCGGTAAAATCAAAGCATATGTAAAGACTGTCAGAATCATATCAATTTAGTAAAATCGTATAATGATGTACATATACATTCAGTTATTCTATATCATTTCAAATCAATATCTTAATCACATGCTTAATACATTATATGCTCACTATGTCGCATGCTATGTATTAGTACAATAAATCAATAATAGTAATATTAATAATGAATCAGTACTGATATCAGTAACAGTTCAATAATATTATCAATTTTTATATCGATAATTGAAATAGTCCAGTGGCAGTAGTAGTAAAATAAAATAGTAATAATGAATTTGTTAGTAACAATAAATTTGTATAATAATAAGAATAATATCTCAATAAGATGCAGTCAGTAGTTACACTATACAACTAAAAAGTTCCGGCTATGACGATATTTTTTAGAAATAAGTAATCGACAGTCAGTAATTGTTGGCTCAATAAATAGAGTCGTCACTTTTTTATTCGTCGGTACAATAATAGCTCATTATAACTCTCAATTATTGTATCAGTAGAGGATAACACCCAATCATACTAGTTAAAAGAAAGCTCATCAACCCACCACCCTGTACATGTTAATTAATCTCCAACCAATAAGTCAACTAATCTTAAATTATTTTTTCCTACACATATATTATTATCACATAATTATAGCAATAATAACGACCAACTATTACTCAGTCATATACCGATATTTATTTCTATTGCATTACAGTAAATAAAGCATAATTGAGCTTAATTCAAAAAGTGTCAAAATATGTAACGGTAAAAATAAAAAATCCTACTGAGCAAAAATTCATATTTTCAAAAATTAATAAAATTAATAGAGATTGTATATAGCAATAATCTGTAGCTTTAATTGAACAAAAGCACTAATTTTAGATGTTAAAATAAATTATCAAATTGATAAAAATAAAAAAATTTCAAAATCACTCGACAAAAATCTCAAACAAATACTAAAAATATTCATAATCTTAATCTCTATAATATATAAAAGTTACGCATTAAAAGTTTTACCGATTTAAAATTATCCTCATTTTTTGTAACAAATATATAAATTTTATTAAAAAATATTAAAATAATAAATTATTGAAATAAAAAATATTATAATTGTTCCTTACAACGAGAGGAACAAATCTCCCAATAAGATTGAATGATGAAAATAGCTCGACGACCTTCAAATCCAAGGTTCTATTTTCTATCTCATATATTTTCTCTCTAATTTTCCCTCACTATTCTCTGTTTAGCAAAATGGAGGAGAAGGAAATGGCTTAAGTATATTAATGTAAGTGGATTATATATGATATTTATAAAATAATAATATTATATAAATATAATTATATACTTTATTAGGTTTTCAATAGAAAATTCATATAAATCCTTTTAGGGATTCAAAAAAATATCCATAAAATAACATATTTTATCTTTTTTTTTTTTTTGCTAAATTTGTTTGCAAATGGACACTTAACGATTCTAAAAAGCTCACTTATACTGATATGAGTCAATTTCTTAAGGATTTACTTCAATGCCTTAAAATTACAAAAAAAATAGTGTAATTAAATCATTATAATATTTATATTATGGTGAATATGGTTTATGATTTAGACTTATGATAACTAATGAAAAAATATTTGACTGTATCAGAATATGGGCTATTACACTTCTATCTAAGTTTTTTTTTTCTATTGATGAAGGCTCCTGGTGTTGGAAGGATTTCCCAATTATTGTCTTGCTCCAATTGCTCGACAAGAACATGCTTGATCTTCTTAGCACTAGCCTCAGTATGTTTCCTCTCCCTTGTTTGCTCGTCTTTGTAGCTCATGATAGCTTTCATCAGATCCTAAGAAATGAGGAATTTAATAGAGAAACTAATAAGAGACACCTTTATCTCAATCCAATTATGCTGACTCTATTCTTAAACTTGCAGGCATGAATCACAGTAAAGCTCTGTCCAACCCATCGTGCACTAAGACTCCTGATCCTCTTACAGAAAAAAAAAAAAAACTATCGCCTGATCCTAAGCTATACAAACAAATAACTGGATCTCTGCAATACTTAACTCTAACAAGGCCAGATATATCCTTTGCAATCAATCTATTATGTCAAAACATGCACAATCCCTCCTCTCATAATTTCTATATGATATATCATCTACTAAGATATATCTTTGGTACACTATCATACGGTCTTCCTGTTTTACAAGGATCACTGAAACTTACCTCATTCTCCGATGCGGATTGGGCAAGCGACAAGGACACCAGAAAATCAACCTCAGGGTACTACACATTCTTGGGCAATACATTGATTTCATGGAGTGTAAAGAAGCAACACATGATTGTTAGATCTTCAACTGAAGCAGAGTACAGGGCCATAGCATCCTCCCTAACCGACATTATCTGGCTCCGAAGACTACTTCTCGACTTTAACATTCCACTTCAAGCACCTACAAATCTACATTGCGACAGCATGTCTGCCATAGCCCTTGCTAATAATCCAGTATTTCACGCATGGACGAAGAACATTGAAATCGACCATCACTTCATTCACGATCACATTATGTCGGAAACTGTCAACATCCTACCTGTTTCTACCAAGGATCAATTAGCTGATATCTTCACCAAACCACTCTCGACAACCAGATTTCATCTTCTTCGTGACAAGCTCACTATCGGTGTCCCTCCATCAGCTTGCGGGGGGTATACTAAGAGACACATGTACAACAACTTAAGTAACCTGCTTATGAACCCATATTATTAACCTGTATCTTGTATTAAGTTCTGTAGGCATCTATATATATGCCCCAACGTATGTACTGTGGGACATCTGATTTCTTAATCAAATACCTTTACTGTTTGAGTCATCTCTGTTTTCAGAAACAAAAAAGTGGATATATAAAAGGCCACAAAAAAAAAAGTTAGTGATAAAACATTATATATGAACCTTGATTCAAAATTTGATTAAACAATTTTTATTAATCTAAGACCTAATTCAAAATATTTTAACAATCTCCATCTCGAATCAAATTTTAGTAAATATAAGCTTATCTTTCTCCCAACTTCTCCTTACCCAAAGAATTTACATACCTAAAGCATAATTAAGCAATGAATCATTTGGTCGCATAAAATACAATTGTCACCATGTTCGCATAATTCAAATTTGTATACACTTTTTGAAGATCCACAGTACCTTGAGCAAGAATGTCTCTAATGAAATGCAACATGATGTCAATATACTTAGCTCTTTTATAAAATACCTTATTTTTTCTATTAGCTGAATTGCACTTTGCATGTCACACTATATTGTTATTTTTATTTATTTATCGTCAAGCTCTTCAAGCAACCCTTTCTTCCAAATGCCATCCTTTTTAGCCTCAGTGGTATAAATATATTCTGCCCCTATGGTTGATAAAGCTATTGTTGATGGAAGATTTTCTTTCAATTGATTATAATCTCTTATATATAAGGACATACCCAATAGATCATCTATTTTCTTAGATACCCTATATAATCAAAATCCATAAAACCTACTTATTTGCTTAAGCTTTCATTTTAGTATGTTATTCTAAAATCAATTTCTTCTCTCCCATGTTTGAAGATCCACTTAACATCTCTTGAATGTTCTCTCCCAAGCTTAGCCATGTAATTCCATGTAAAACTCATCATATAAGATATATGGAGTATAGTTCATACCAGTGTACATTAGCTTGTCCGTAGCACGAACATACAGAGTTATATCCAAAGAATATCCAAAAAATGTTAAGTGGAGATAAAACAAATATTGCAGTATTCTTTACGTCCTTCCAAATATCTTTGTTTGTAGACAAATGTTATAAGTCTCTTTCCTTGTCCCTGTTTATTCATATCCAAAGAATATGTCCGACCTAACCAAAAATCTTCATGTCAAGCCCATATCTTTTTGCTTTAGTCATGGATGTTCTCACTAGACTTTTGCAAGAGGATATACATTGGTATAATGTTTTTGCTGATGATATTCTTCTTGTTGTTAAGACTAGAGAGAGAGTTGAAGGTAAACTTGAATTATGGAAGTCAACCTTAGAGTCTAAAGGTTTTCACTTGAGTAGATGATTAGATCTAAAATTGAATATATGTAGTGTAATTTTAGTAGCAATAGTCTTAGTGAAGGGATTGTCACTTTGGACGATCAAGTCATTAATAAGAGTACACATTTAGATATCTTGGATTTATTATTCATAGTGATGATGAAATAGATATGGATATTATTAGCAGAATTCAAGTTGGATGGTTGAAGTGGAGGAATGCATCGGGCTTGTTGTGCAATAGAAAAGGCCCCCCTCAAACTTAAGAGAAAATTCTATAAGATAGTGGTGAGACCTGCAATGATTTATGGTGTTGAATGTTGGCTATTAAAAGAGAGGCATAATACTAAGTTAAGTGTTACAGAGATGATGATGCTTAGGTGGATGAGTGACTTTACCCTTAGAGATAGGATATGAAATGAGTATATACGTGAAAAGGTTGGAGTAGCCCTAGTGGCAGATAAGATTAGAGAAAGTATTCTTAGATGGTTTGGTCACATTAAACAGAGGCCTTCCAATGAACCGGTTAGGAAAGTTGAGGTATTAGATTTGAATTATGTTAAGAAAGGTGGAGGTAGACCTAAAAAAATTTAGTTAGAAATATTAGAAATAATCTTTCTTTATTAGATCTAAATGAGAATTTGACTTTTAATAAGAAACAATGGTGAAAAAGGATTAATGTAGCCGACCTCACGTAGTGGGACAAAGGCTTGATGTTATTGTTGTTGTTGAATAATTTGTTAAGTCCTTCATCCTTGAGGATCTTATTTAAACTCAATGGATCACCTAATGTAATCTTTTTTTTTTTCTCGTTCAGACTCTTTTGTTCTTTTTCTGACAAATCATTATATGATATTGACATTTTACATTTTTCATGAAAGCAGTGCATGTATCGCACATCTTTTTAATAAAGCATAGTAAATATTTTTATGCTTGGAGATGATTAGGATATGTTGGTTGCCCAATAATGATTGTCATTACTCCAAGACTAAGAGTTTGTTCATTGAGGATTTGGACATATTAAATAGAAAAAATGGTAATAAAAATTCTACTATATTCTAATACACATACGAGATATTTCTTCTTAAGCTATAAAAGTGTTTATTATGTTATTTATTACTTTAGAAGATAATAATCATAGGAAAATGATCATTAAATAATAAATATCAGGGACATATCAATAATAATATTCTATTCAAAAAAGTATATGTATGTCTAGTTGTTTAAATTACAATTTAACCTTGAAATTATAAAAATAAATACATTATTTTGAAATATTGGATTATATATTAATTTTTTTTTTCTTTTACTGATTTTCTTAGATCCCATCAACATGCATTAAATACATTCATGAAAAATAAAAGAAATTAAATTAATGATCTCTTAATTTTCATTTATAGAAAAATGACATTACAAATTAATAAATTATAATTATATTTTAGATTTATTTTTCTACTGCAAAATATTACTAAAATAAATTATTCATATAATTACGTTACATTCAAATATAACAGAAAAAAAAATCTCCGGGCAAGTGAAGCTCCCACAAGCCCAAGGCCGTCGCAGCCCATATTAAGGGCGAACTCGAATCCATTCTTGGCTGGCTTGCTCGTGCGTGGCCACCAGCATCGCCATTCGCAGTTCCCGTTTCAATACCTTCTTCGAATCGACCATTTTCTTCTGGCGCGGCGCCGGCTTCTCTTTCTTCGGCCGATGTTCTGATCTCTTCTGTAACCTCTTTTGATCCGTCTGGTCCTTTCCTTCATCTCTTGACGCCCTGTCATTCAATTTTCGTTACGGAAAATCATTACCTTATTGCTCAGATTCTTGTTTACCTGTTTGTGTTTTTGTTTTTAAAGAATAGGGTTAGGGTCGTTTTTTTCGGAGAACATTTGTTAACTTAGATTACATTTGGGAAGGATGCTGTCCAGATGGAGCAAGGCAGCTTTTATTGTCCGGCATTTTGGCCCGCGCCAAAGAGTTGTGAGTTTAGAGGAACATTCTCCCCTCGGTCGAAGCTACTCTGGAGTTCCTGCGGCCGCAGCTTCTGCGTCAACAAGCTCTCCTGGTTCGGACCTGAAGCAGTCTTCTAGCAAACCAGAGGTGCGATCACTTTCTAATGGATCTCACTTTAAAATTCAGGAATTCAGGAAATGCGTTTGTTCTGAGCCGTTGTTTTTATATCTCTATTGCTACCATTGAGTTTATTGCTTGTTTACAAAAATTATATTTTGCTTTGGATAGAATGTGGATTATAGATTACTTGATTTACTGGAAATGCTTTGAAAAGTTAGATGATTTTAACTTGAGAACTATGAAAATTCCTATGATTATTAGCAACCACCTTAATGTAGCGTGTGATAAAGTTCAAGCAAGAATCAGCAGCACAGTTGAATTTGCAATCTAAACTTAAGGTATTTTTATTGTTTGGTTGGTCTTAACTATATGGGGCATTATGATAGGTTGCGTCAATTTGGGTTATACTAACTATGTAGGGCATGCTTGCATGAGTTTGGGTTCTATTCCAACTTGTCAATTGTTGATTTTGCCTTTGCCAAAGGTGTGCCTCTAAATTTTCACTAGCTTTTCCTCTGCTTTATTAATGTCCCAAAACTTGTTAGAATAGGTGTTTAGATAATTAAGCGAGTCTGGTAAAATCTAGATTAGAGGTAAAGTCTTTACGAATAAGTAGAAGGTGTTATTGGTAAGGTCTGAACTAGTCTTTCAATGGCCATCTGGGATAGAGACAAAATGGACGCAGATTACTGCCAGTAAGCCAGCTTTCATTCTTGTTTCCTTCCCTATTCTTTTTCAATCCAGAAGACATAAGTTAGGAAAATCGAGTCAATATCAGAACAAACACCTGATTGTAAAAGCTTTATTTATACCTATTGATAAGCATCCTTGATATGCAATATTATACCACATATAAACCTAATCTTATCTCAACCTTTTGGCCACTGCTACTGCTATGTTCTGAAAGCTTTTATCGGCTTGCAATTGCCACCTTTGATGGCTGACGGTCTTTCATCCAATGGTTGTTTTCCTGTTTTTGTTTTCTAGCTACTTGTATATGTATATACTTATCTTACTGTTGTAATGTTTAATGAAAACATATATTTAAAAAGAGGTGCAGTTTCTTTCCTATTCTTCTTCATTCTGAATTTATTGCAGTATTTCAGCAGATATCAACATGGTTTTAGGGCCCCTGTTTCCATGAGATTTTTCTTTCTTTTTTTGCAGTCTTTCTGTGATTGTAGTTGCTATATTGTTTGAATTGGCCCTCTCAATGGCTACAACGTCTTTCTTTGTCGATAATAGAAGTCTCACCTCCCAAACTAGCATAATAACACTTGGAAGCTTATGGATCAAAATTTGCTGCCGCTCTTTACTCCACAATTTCACCCAACTTACTGTCATATGTATTAAATCTGACTCTTGTGTTGATATTTGGCAAACCATCGAGCGGAGGCTTCAATCTACAATTTATTCTTGCTTACTTCAGCTGAAGAATTAATTGCATCACATTTCCAATATTTATTTGGTATTAAGAGCAAATGTGATGCTATTACTGCTTCAGGAACACCATTAGATTCTGAAGACTTAATCCTATATACACTTAATGGTTTCCCACCGACATATCAAACATTTAAGTCGGCCATTCGAACCAATCTTTATCCCATTGGTTTGGAAGAATTTTATGCCTTACTATGCAGTGAAGAACTTAATTTCACAACTGAATCCTCTTAGGAAACGTCTTTAACTCATTCATTTGATCCACAACTTGCTCTAATCACCAATCATGGTCGTGGATGTTCTCATTCTTCTTCCAGTTCTTCCAACATGGGTAGGCTAAGACTAACCTCTATTATCTCTTGACGCGTGCATGCTTTAGCAAATCGAGGTGTTCAACCATTTAATTCTTATCTTAAATGTCAAATTTTTGGAAAGCCTGGGCACTCCACATTGAAATGTTCGCATCTCGCTAACTTATCTTATTAATCTAATCCTCAAACCATGCTTGCAAGAAACTCTCAAGCTACTACTAATTGGATTATAGATGTTAGTGTCATTTCACCCTTAACTTTGGATGTCACTCAACTTCAACATTCTCAGCCATAGTTCATATTGGTAATGGAGACATGCTTCCTATTGCCCATGTTGGACAAGGTCTTTTGACACCGTATCATAAATTCCTTTTAATCTTCTCTTTCTTGTTCCTCATCTTTCACACAATCTTCTCTCTATCAATAAATTGGTTTCCAATAATTCATATTTCCCTATCAATGATTCGAGGACCAATCACACACTTCTCCATGGAAATATCACATTAATTATATTCAACTTGCACTAGCTTCTTAATTTTCTTTCATCACAACTTCATTATAGTCAAAACTATGGCATCGCCATTTGGGGCATCCATCTATTTCTTCATCTTCTCAATTGAACTTCATCACTCCTACCATTACTTCTACCTCTCTAAAAACCTTTCATTGTGATGCTTGTGCCCTTGCAAAGAGTTACAAATTACCTTTATCTAGTTCTACTTCATTTAGTAAAGAACCTTTTGAATTGCTTCTCATTGATGTATGGGACCCTTCCCCAATTTTGTTATTATAATGTTATAAATATTATTTACTCTTTATTGACAACTTTTATAATTATAGTTGGGTTTATCGTATGTGCAGCAAATCTGAATTACTTAAATATTTTAACATTTTAAAACCTTAGTTGAATGTCAGGTTGATAAATTTGTCAATATTCTTTATTCTGATGGTGGTTGTGAATTTGTCAATTAAAATTTGCAAATTATCTTAGCCAGTTTTGGCATTGTTCATCAACTTAGTTCTCTTTACATACCTGAATAAAATGACATTGTTGAATGCAAGCATTGGCACATTATTGAAATGCTATATAGCTTAATGCTTGATGCCAAACTTCCATTTCATTTTTGGGTGGATACCTTATTAACAGCTTTGTATTTAATTAACTGCCTACTATAATTAACCACCTCTAAATATTCATCTTATTAATTGTTGTATGACAAACCTTCTACTTATACTAATTTAAAAATAGAGCTGCTGTTTTCAGCTCATAAATTAAGGTTCATTCCCCTCATTTGCTGCCCATTTGGTTCCCCCACCTAGCTCTCCTTCCCGTGGCTGATTCCTCCCCCTTTGTTTGCCTATTCTAGTCCCCTAGCTGATGTCCTGGTTCCCCTGGTTTCCTTTTCCTGTTTCCCTGGCTGTTGTTCCGCTTCCCTAGCTGATGTCCCGGTTCCCCTTGTGCTGCCCCTTTGGTTCCTCCCCTGGCTGCCTGTCCTGTGGTTGCTTTACCCGGTTTTCTGTGTGGTTTTTTTGGGTGATGTTCTGGATTGAATGCTGGCCTTTAATGGGTTTAAATGAAGATAATTTGGGCTGTTTGGCTGCCCCTTTTTCTCCTATAAATATAAGGTGTTTTGTCAAAAAAAAGGTGTGATGGCTGATTTTTGGACATGAAAACCTGAGTGTTTTTTTCTTGGAAAAGCTTGAGAGCTTGTTCCACTTCTTGCTCTCCTTCTTGGGAAAGCTTACGAGCTTGTCCTCTACTTCGGAGCTGCTCCCTTGGGGGGGGGGGGTTGCAGTTGATGTGCCATGGCTTGTGGATTGATTTTTGGATTTTTACCCAAGCTTGGCTTGGTTGTTTCGAGTTTTGCTGCCTAGTTGGGTAGCTGCTGTGTTCTGCTACCTTTTTCAACTCATTATTGTGAGCTGCTGGCTTTTCAGCTCATTCATCTGCTGGCCTAGTTCATTCCCCCCATTGTTTGGCCATTCGGTTCTCTCCCAGTCGGGTTCTTTCCCCCTTAGCGCTGGCTGTGTCCTGCTGACCTTTCGGGTGTTGCTCCCTTCGGCTGCCTTTTGGCCTTCTGCCTCCCCTTTACTGATTGGATTCATTGGGCGGCTGTTTGGGCTGTTTGGCTCGCTCTCCTCTCCTATATATAAAGGCTGATTTGTGACATTTTAGAGCAGATTTTGGTGAGAAAATATTTGGAATGTAAAACCTACGGGTTTTGTTCAAGCATGCGAGCTAGCCCCCTTTCTCTTCTCCTCTCTTTGACTTTGTCTCGGGCTTCTTATCTATTGCTTCTCTTTGCAAGTTTTCACCCCATTTGTATCTTTCTTCTCAATCAATATAAAAGTTGTATGGTGTCTTGAGTCGTATTTTTAGGGTGTTATTGCAACGTGTTATGTCTTTTATTTCAAGTTTGTAGTGTCAAATTTTGTGTCTTATTTTTTGTATTAATTTTTTTCATTTTGAAAGGAAGACGATAGTGTACGCAATCTTAGTTTTTTCCAAAATTTTGTTTGCATCAATTTTTCAGTAAATAATTGCTAACTTCTTGTTTTTTGATTGTATAAGTTGTTATAATCGTTCTCATCTTTATACAACTATTATAAAAAAATTACCCCAAAATTTTTTAGTAAAAAAGAAAATGACATAAAAAACAATGGATGTGTGAGTTATCAGAAATACTTCAATGATGAAATATCATTGTAGCTGCCTTGTGTTTTATAAATGAGTACTTTGAGTCATATATTTACAAAATATCATGCATGACCTCTCATATATTGAAGACAAATGGATTGACAATCTACTTATAGGTAATCCTAGATGTTTCATAATATGTTTTTATATCTCAGTTAATTTTTATGGATCTCTTGAGTGACTTGAAAAGTATTCATGGGCTCCACGGTTCATCTTGTACTACAAATAAAGTATTAGCAACCAACTTATTATATCACCTAATAGGGTTATAAGAACAACATGTGAGTGATTTCAACATCCAATTGAGAATATTAATATTTATTTTTCTATTGAATTAGTAAATTGGTGAAATCAAAAGATGCTAGATTTCAAAATACGTCAAGAGATACATTGATAATGTTCGATATATGCCCTATTTCAAGGTACCATATATGATTATTATTTTTCTTTATTTCTAAAAAATTATCATATATAAAAAATTCTCGATTAGGATTGCATTGGAGTGATCGATGGAACTCATGAGGATTCTCATGTTCTAAATCATGAAAAGGTGGCAAATATAGGGTGATGGGGTTCAACGGCACAAATTAATATAGTAGTGTGTGACTTCAATATATGTTTTACTTTTATCATATCAGGTTGGGAAGATAGTGCACATGATAGTCGTATTTTCAAATTTGCTACTCGTAACTTATAAAATAACTTTCCTATGTTATATGAAAGTTAGTTGTTAAGACTAAAAGGGTTAACAATATTTATTTTTTCTTTAAATAAATGATGTATACTTCATAAGTAGTAAATATTATCTTGTAGATGCTGCTACCTAATGCTAGTTTTTTTGGCCATTTATGTATATAAATTATCATATTCTTGATTTAAAAAAAAAAGCCAATTGGTGCATGGGAGGCAAAACATATAACAAGCTACACTCTTCGTTATGTGGTGTGATTGATTGATTTTTGGATGCTTGGAAAGAGTGACTTTGCATGATATGCCCACATATTCTTTTAAAATGTAAGGAAAAATAGTAACAGCTATAATGATATTGCATAACTACATATGTTACCATCTCTCTTGAGATAGCTTAGAATTTAATATTTATGATACGGATTAATCCTACATACCAATAGAAGTGTATAAGTATTAAATTGGGCAGTTAATGTTAGATCTTGAAAAGATGTAATAGATTCTAATAAGAGGGATGGAGAATGTGCTAAGGAAATAATATAATTGAGAGAGCAAATCACAACTACATTGGTTAATGAGGAGCTATGCTGCACCGATACGGATACGACACGATACAGATACGGGACACGTAAATTTTAAAAAAATATAGGATATGGGTACGACACGGACATGGCATTATAATTTATAAATCATACATTAAAATTAAAAAAGCAATCAAAACATAATATTTGAAATTACAAAAAAAAAAAAAAGAAAGTAACATCATTTGTAGCCTTATAACTTATAATATCAAAATAAAAGTAAGTCTAGTACAACAACAAAAGCATAAACATAAATTGTCTAGCACATGAAGTTTCAACTATTCAATAGAAGGAATGATATGATTAGCTTCTTCAGTGGTTTGTCTTTGAACTTCTATATCATCTTCAATAAATATCATAGCTTCTAATTTAGGCTCATCAAGTGAAAGATTAGCAATTTCTAATATTCCCATATCATCAAGAGACTCAAATCCATCCCGGAAATGAGAGAACCTCGCTCGCAGTTGTGGAAGTAAATACGACGGGTCTTTTTTTTTCCTGTTTTTTTTTTTTTGTTTTTCAACGGACACACATATCGGATATGCGTGTCCTTTTGAAATTAACTAGTATTTTAATTGGATACGACAAAGCTGTATCCAACACGTATCGGTGCCGTATCGGAGGTGTATCCTTGTATTGGTGTATCAGATACAACACACCTTCATAAATAGGAGTATCGGTGCAACATAGATGAGGAGAATGAAGTTATTCGATATGCGTAAATGGATTATATTTTTATTTATATATTTAGAATTGCATTACATTTCAATATTTTTATTTAACATTTTTATGGTTGGTTTTAATTGATCAAATCATAATTATTTTTAAGAAATTACATCTGATTTTGTTTATTAGAAATATTTAAATTTTATGTGGTTAATAAAAAAGGGCATTAAGTTAATTTTGCTTATAAAGCAATAAAGCAACAACCTGGCAAATTGTGTTTTTCCCACAATAATGACTGCTTCAGCAACTACTTCAGGCGGTAAATTTTCCTACAACATTTTCACCACTAACTTTACCAAGAGTAGCAGCTATTCTAGACAGATTCTCAGACAAAAAGCAATACGCCAGGACCCCTAGTTGTGTTTCATTAAGCAAAATAATAAAAAAATCAGTCCCAAACGGACCTTGAATCTCAAGCCAAGTTTGTGAAAGAAGCGTCTTATTGTCTTGTTCAAAGTATGCTTTACTTATATGTATAGATTTTAGTTTTCTTTTATATTTGTCTGCACATATCTCTTGGAATTTAACATTTGCTATGCTTTTGTAGACATTACCTTACACTTTTTTCAACTTTTCCATTGTAACGTATTTTTGATAAGGTTTTGTAGGTTAAATTAAATTCCTTGTTCTGGTCTAAACCCAGTTCATTGGCTCTGCCTCCTGGTTCTCCTTTGAGAATAGAAGAACCACAGTATGAGGGCCTTCGGCATATAATGCTCAAGCTATTACTATTTTATAGTAAACAGAGCAGGTCAATCAGAGGGGCAAATGCTGTCTATAGGAGGATCATTTCTCAGGTTGATAAGCCTGCTATCTATGATGGTATACTTCTTTTGCTTGCTTTCATAATCAAAACACTTGGAAACTTTGTCTCTTTTTCATGCCTGTCTTTAATGTAAAATTCATGGCTTTGAGAAGATGGAGATTTTGCTTCATCTGATTACTAAACCCATCCTGCTTACTTTGTCATGAACTACTTTAGAATCTTACAGTCACTCGATGTTGTTTGATGAACATGAACAACAAAAGCTACCTTGCAATTGAATTTTGATAGGATTGCCTAAAAATTAAAAAGTAAATCGTATAGATTATGGTTGGTACTATAATACATATTGTCTTCCAGTTTTTGAATAGTAATATCTCAACATGCATGATTTGTATTTGATCCTTTTTATCTCTGACATTATTTTGATTGTCTGTGGTCTCTAAGTCTCAATATCTGTCAAATATAGACATGATACGTTAAATTGTCTACAGTAGGAAGGCTTTACGCCTGAGATACTCCAAATCTGACCATGGCACCTTCATTATCTTGAAATAACTGCATGTTCATGAACAACCTTCTATTTACATATTCATATAAGTTATTTTCATTTGCTTTGTAATATATTGATCCGTGCTTTTTAAGTTTAGGTTCATAGTTAACTTTTGATGTAAAAGTTTCTAAGAAAAAGAAGAGTGAAAGTATACATCCTTAAGTTGTTTGTAGTGTTGAAGTTCTTTGCGTTCTAGTTTCATATAATTTAAAGCAAATGGTGAGAATAATTTCTTTGACTTTTGCTGATAATCTAAGTTTTTATCAATGTTTGATGTCCATGTTTGGAGACCGAAGATTATATTGATATGCCTACCACTATCAGTTCTTCATAGCTAGATCTTAAAGCTTACTGAGGTTAGAATTATTTGCTTTTGGTAAACTTTTGGAGTGTTCCACCATCATGGCCGGAGCATCTAATTTTTTCTTGCATTTTTTAATATGTTTTTCATTTTTATTTCTTGTCCTTTTACTTGTACTCACATTATAGTTACTGATTAAATAAAAGCATGATATCATTGGGATTCTGAGAGCATTGTTGTTTCAGCACTCATAAGCTTTTATTGGTTTCATTTCTCAGTGAGATCTTCCATTTTATGCTCTTATCAATGAAGTTGGGAAAGACATTTGGTACTTGTATGAGAAAACTAAAACAATAAAAAGCATTAAAGTTTCTGCGTTTGCAGATACAAATCATGTAGACAAAAATCATGAAATGCATAACATGTAGTTGATTTGTTTTTTGTTACTATATATGGCCTATGCTATTTAAACTATTGATTGCCGAACATCATGCTTTCCAGGGAATGATATACGTTTGATGTTATCATTGAACGTAATATAGGGAAATTATAATATCCTCTATGATTGTACATTTTTACTCGCCTACTTTGTAACTTCTCTCTCATGCTGTGAGGGTGCATTATACAGCACCACCTCTTTTTTTTTGCCTCTGATCATGTAGTAGCAAAAATGGTACCCAAAAAAAAAATGATGGTTTTAAATTGGTGTAAACCATGACATTTAAGCTAAATGAGGCAATGTTGATTAGATCTATGGCCTAAAACTGATTGTAGTGTCCAAGCAAGTTTATTTAGATAAAGCTGTAGTTCAAAGAAAACAAGCTGGGGTGGTTGATATGTAAATTAGATGTTCCAAGGATTGGCCCTTATTAAGTGATTACTCATGCTTTGCTTTGTACTAAACGGCTGTGTAAGCTGCACACTTAATCATGTACCTTGAGATGGATCTACCTCCCTAGGAAAGAAAAAGTTAAAAAGAAAAAATAAAAAATCCTTTGCAATCACTTTTACTTTGTATTGTGTTAGACCCGGTCCAATGGACCGGTATAGCCGGTCCGACGGGATCGGCTTACGTGACTTGAGGCGGAACTCTTCCGCCTCCACGAAGAGCCGCGCGATCCGAAACCGCCCAGGGAGCCCAATAGGAAGGATTTTTGAGGGAATTAAGAGGGAAATTTGAATGTAGGGACTGTTTAGGGATTTCCTTTTGATTTGTATGCTTTAAATACTTTGTTTTCCTAGGGTTAGGGCATCTTGAATTTGGCTGCAATTTGAGATCTTTTGGATTTTAGGTTTCCTTTGGGCTCTAGCTGCGTCTAGAGATTTGGGAGAGATCGATCATTCTCTCGAATAGAGGATCAAGGGCATCTCTATTTCTCTCGGCTCATGCGGTCATTGATTCAGTCAGGGGGTTTCACTAGAAAGCCTACGCCCGTCCATTTCCATTTCACTTTAATCAAGTAATACAAATTATCTACTATTTTTTGTGATTTTGTGCAAATTTTTGTGAAGAATTCTAGCTGTTTTTAGAAGATTGATAGGAAATACTTATGATCCACAAGTGTTTCCTATCATATTGCTAACTGAATTTGAAGTTCTTGCCATAAAAACCAAATATGATTTCATCTTTGAACTGAATTCAATGTCTATTTTGCGGTTACATTGTTAGAATCAACCATTTCTTCTAATAGAAAGGTGACCATGATTGATTGTGATGGGCTATTTGTTTATTACTTTGCAATCCTTCCATAGGGAGGTATTTAAAAAAGAACTCTACTTCTTATTACTCCTCTTCTCTAATCATGTATAACTTATCTTGTATTAATGTTTAGATATTATGTGCCGTGCAATTATCTGCCACCAATCTCAAAGGATAAGGCTCATGATCAACTTGGATATCTTGCTTTCTGTAGTTATTGTATAATGTTATAAACTTGTAAAGGTTATCTTCTGGAAGACTGTTGTTCACTAGTAAAATTTTTAAGGCAAGTGGCTAAGCATACTGTGAATGAGGTAGGAAGGAAATCAGGTGAGGCGAAGCTTAAATTCATAAAAGTAAACCAAAAGGATATATTTATACTTGAATTGACAACCTATCACAACTCCAGGATGAACAGGTCGCACATGATTCATAAAGCTGGTCTAATGGGGATATGGAAAATGATGTTGCTGATGGTGATTGTCTACAATGTGTATTATGTGCTGTGGTCCTAGAACATATTAGAACAAAATCCAGAACAATATATGGCATCTTGAAAATATTTTATTGTCTTAGTAATCACCTGCATTCTTCATTTTTAACTCCTTTGAAGTACGTCTTTGTACATAGTGCACTCTCTGTTACTAAAATGAAAAAAAAAGGTAAGAATCATTGTTTCATTCATACTTCTGATGGATGCTGTTTTTGGTGTTTTTTGTCGTTTTAAAGGTTTGAGCTTCTTTCTATGTTTGACCATTGTTTTATTATAGCATGTTGAGCTTCTATCATTTCTCACGGTTACTTGTACATATGTTTTCAGTCTTTAACCTGGAAAACACGTTCAGAACTACTTTTTCTCTGCTGGTGCTTCATATGTGGTTATTTCTACGTCGGTTGAAGGAAGAGGGGAAGGAAGGTGCTGAATTCGGGCAATACTTATATGAGATTTACAACCATGATTTAGAAATGAGAGTTTCTAAGGCAGGGGTGAGTAAAAACTTGAGTATTTATTATTGAATTCTAATAACCGAAGGCTACCAAATTGCTTGAACTGGTTCTAACTGATTATTTGCCCAAATTGCTTGAACTGGTTCTATCTGATATTGTTTTTCAAATTTGATATGCACGTTTTGATTACATTATGTAGTTTGTGGAGTACAGCAATATCTTCTACTGTCGACATTTTAATTGCTGAAACCAGAGTAGTTTAGAAGGGGGAATCATTCATTGTCTGTGTCTGTATTGCTGAAATAATAGGGCTGTGGGTATCACACCCTCGCATTTTACCAAATTTCATGAATTAGCTCGAAGAATAGAGAAAATGATATTTTAATTTCTCTAGAACTACATTAGTGTCTTCATCTTCATTTGCCTTATCACAATTATTTTTGGCCCCTCATTTTCTATTCATTCTTCTTGAGTGTATTATATATTAAAACCTTTCTTCATAAATTATTTTAAACAACTTCTCTCTCTCTCTCTCTCTCTCTCTCTCTATATATATATATATATATATATATATATATATATATATGCATGCTAAGGATTTTATTTTTTCTTTACTAATCATTCAATATTAATTTTATTACTGAAATCTATTTTCAAATGCCATATCTTCAATGTATGTCATTGTAATTGCTCTTCTAATACAATCATTCTTTAAGTTATCCTTCATGGCTTCGCCTAATTCTAACTTGTTGGAGGGGAAATCGTTTTCTTGATTATATTATTCAATAGAGGACCTTTCTATTTATATTAGAGGGAGTGCAATATTTAAGGAACACCAAAAGAAGCATACACCTCTTATTAAACATTGATGCGGGCAAAAAATATAGGGGAGCCTATATCTCTTGAACCCACAAAAGAAGAGGAAACGAAGCACCAAGATAGAAGGGAATCACTTAGAGATATTATAATAAACTCTTATATTTCAAACCTAAAATAAACTTAGAAATAAAAGACTTACAACTCTTTAAAATTTAAACGACTAGCAAACAAAATGACATCCTAAAATTGCTTCACAATTAGAAGATGGATACAGGTGGAGTGACACTTGCGGAGAGACGAAAGAGATTAAAAGCCGAGAAGAAAGGTTGGAAAGAGCTCGCAAGATTTCCGGAGGGGATGAGAAAGAAGACGGACAATGCTCGCAAGCTTTTCCAAACAAACCCGTAGGTTATAGCTTTTCCAAAAATAACATTTCATTCACTATTTTAAACATTACAAGCCCCTCATATTTATAGGTATGAAAGGAGAATACCAAAAGACACAAACATTGAATTCTCATTGGAATTCCAAACATCACAAACCGTAAAACCCTATTGCTTTTTACGGAAAAACAGCCCAAGCCTAGGAACCGAAGGAGCAACCACGGGAGCCAAGGAGGCCACACGGAACCAAGGCGCCAAAGCCACGGGAAAACTCCCAGGCTCGGAAAACCAGCAGCCGGCCAGAAATCCAAGGGGTAAAGGCACGGAAAACAGCAGCCCATGGTGGAAGCCAAGGAGCCACGGCATGGAAAAACGAAACAACTTTTTTTTGGGATTCCAAAAGCCCTTTTTGGAACCCAAGAGACATCATAAATAAAAACAATAAAAAACTATATAAATAACATTTAATAAAATGATAAATATGAACTAAAATGTTAGCTAATAATGAGCTAACCCTTAGTTCAATAAGTGAGCTAAAGACCAGCTCATAAATGAGCTAAAATTTTAGCTCAATTTTGATTGAGCTAGTAAACTCGAGGGAAGCCAAAATTGATTTATTTTGGACATGAGTTGACCCCCCCTTTGTCTACATCAGACTCCCCTTCTTGAGAACTCATCTCCCAATGAGTTAGCTTTGGTTTCTCTTGAGGAGGTGAATACTATGCATCCAGCTCTTTGATCTTATCTTCAAATTTCTTTAAAATTTGTTCCTGCTCTTTTTGAACTGCCTTTGTAGATATGATTTCCACTTCTCGAATTTTTTGATCACATAAGAACATGTGATATTGAAGCTTGTATAGACGGTCTTGAAGCGGATCAGTTGAATCGCCTTATGTAGAAATCCATCTGTCCAACGGAAGCGGGGCATCAGGATTATCTGAATTTCATGGACTATTGGATTGCTAGCAATGTGGATAGTAGCTTGATTACACTGTTTAGCATTCTCAGGACAACCTCCCTATGGTTCTTTGGATTTTTCATGAGATACTAAACCCACCTAGAACAGAGGGTGTATTAATTCTTGTGACAGTTAGATGAATAAGATTACTGATAGACGCCAATAGTAAATAAAATGTTTAAAACCTTCCTCATTCTTTAATATTTACAGAGTTTCCAAGTGCGAGTTACATCCAAGAAGACTTATTTCTTCAAAAAAGATTGTAGGTGTTTTTTTTTTTTTTGGGAAGACAGACATTTGCTTCAGTATAAGCAAACTCTTTACCAAAAAAGTACTTTGAGCGCACCATATTTTTATTTCAACAAATTTGAAGTATCATTTCCAGGAGAAAAATATTATTAGCATAAGAGCAAGTGTGTTGAATAAAGATAGAACAATCAATATTAGTACTATATATTATGACATTAGCTAGAAATTTTTGTAGTTTATCGAACCAGGCACAAGAACTTTTTTCAGTGCATATATAGCCTTTTGAAAATTGTATAATCTTCTTCCTTTGGGCAAAATATCTAAGTGGTTGTCCCTTTTACATTTTGTTATATCCCTATGGAGAAATGCATTGCTGATAACATAGTCCACCCTTAAGTAATGATAATAGAGGGAGAAAGAAATATAGAAATAAGCTGAGCAACATACTAGAAAGTCTCAAAGTAGTCTATACCATTGACTTGTGTATTAGGCCGTGTAGCATTCAATAGAGCCATTAGGATGGAACTTAATTATAAATACCTAATGACATGAAATGGGTTTAACCTTAGGAATGAAGTATAACGATATCCCAGGTGTGATGATTAATAAGGACGCCTATTTTAGTGTCTATTATGATTGAGCACAACCTCCTAATAAGCCCTGGGAGTTTAGGTAGCAGTTAAAGACAAGCTAAATTGTCAAAATGACCAGAATAGATGATAAAAGTTCATAAAACGTGTAGTAGATGGTCGGTATTGGTGTTTACCTATTTTTAGAGCAATATGAAGATGCAGATTTGAATGCACAATTTTAGGCTGATGCTTGGTCTAATAGACAAGATGGTGGGATGTGTTTTAGCAAGAGTAGAATTGGGTCTGTAAGTATCAACTTGCAAGGGAGTAACAAGCATCAGGTTAGGTATAAACCTCAATGCCATGCTATATAGAAAATCATTTTCTCATATGTATTATTCAGTAGTGAATCCCTATATAGAAAATCATTTTAGAATAAATACAATGCTCTAAGGAACACCCAAATAAACAAACATCACTTTAAATATAGAAAACCTTTGCCCACTAACTCAAACTAACATTCAACAATCATCTTGACATTTTCCTCTATTAGCATAACACTATTGTTCATATCACGCTTTTACTTCATCAGCAACATTTTTCTTCCCATCACTTGGATCGATATAACATAATTGACCCAATTGTAATTTTATAAAGTTTATTTTAAGCATCTGTGATATCTCTTTTCACATAATACTCTTGAAGCACTAACTCATTTTAATCACTAAACATTATTCTTAAAGTCATATTTTCATCTATATTGCCATTATGTAGAATAGATTCAATGTACTTAAACCCCTTTGTACCTAGGTCTATTTTATCTTCTAATAATATGGAATAATGATTATTAATACGGTGCTTACTAAAACTATATATCACGTTGTTAGGGCATGTTGTACGATAGAAAAGTAACCCTCAAACTTAAGGGAAAATTTTATAATGTAGTGGTGAGACCTGCAATACATTTTGGCGTAGAATGTTGTTCGTTAAAAGTGATGCATAAAACTAAGTTAAGTATTGTAGAAATGAGGATGCTCAGGTGGATGAGTGGCTTAACACTTAGAGACAATGCGAAACGAGTATATATGTGAAAAGTTTGGAGTAGCTCTAGTGGAAATAAGATAAGAGAGTCTCACCTTAGATGGTTTAGTCACATAAAACATCGGCCTTCTAATGACCCTATTAGGAAAGTAGATATTATAGATCCAGCTTATGTTAAGAAAGATAAAGTTAAACCTAAAAAGGCTTAGTTAGAAATTATTAAACATGCCATTTTTTATTATATTTAAATGAGATTTTAACTCTTAATAAACACAATGGAGAAAAAAAGATTCATGTAGCCGACCTCACATAGTGGGATGAAGGCTTGTTTTTGTTGTTGTTGTAGTAGTAGTAGTAGTATGTAGTTAGGGCGTATTTGAGATCTTTTTGGTTTTTGCTTTTGAAAAAAGAGTTCAAGTGGTGATAAATTATATTTGTTAATTTGTTTTTAAAATTATTATTTTTATATAGAAAACGAGTTTTAGGTATTTTTTAATATTTCTAAAGCAGGTTTTATTATTTCCAAAAAACCGACAAAGGCTCCCGGGTCGCCTTCTCCCCTCAGTCCTTTTATGTCATTCACTATATAACTACAACTTCATCTCCAAGTAATGTGGCTTCATTACCTTCCATCATTGTAATTTCCACCTCGAAGATGTGTGACCGTCATGAATAAGTGCTCTATGTTTTAAGCTGGTGGGTTTCATGCAGAGAATAAGTTCTCTATTTGTTTGCCTTCAAGAGTTCATAGAGGATAAAAACCCCAAACTTCTTCCTAAATAGCAATCTTAAAGATCATAGGAGATGCAGCAAGGAGTGATGATGAATATGAAGAAGACCTCATGGTTCTAATGTAATGGAGATGAGTGTGGAAGACACATAGTTAGTGAATGTAGATGCGCAGATTTAGACAATAAAATAAGTTTTTTTATTTAAATATTTGAAATCAACAAGTGTATGCTAAAAAACTTTTTCATGTTAAAACAAAACAAATTGAAAGATAAAAATAAAAATGAT